AAAAAAAAAAAGCGGAAACATATGAAAAATACCATTGTTCTCTGACCTCTTTGGAGCTATATTGCTGCAACACAAATCCCCTTGCACATGAAGGGTCAACAGAAGCATGCGTTTCATTCACAGCGCTGCGGTTTGTGGAAAACTCAGGAGGGACAGCCCTGCCCTGTGTGGCATCAGCTGGGGCTACAGGATCCACTTCCAAGATGACTCATGCTCATGACTTAGCAAGTTATTACTGGACAGAGGTAGTAGTTTAACTGAGGCTGTGGGTCAGGGGCATTGTGTCCTCTACATCAGGGACCGCTCCAGGAGCTGATTGACAGCTGTGTGACATAGGCTAAAGTCCAGGCGCAATCGTAGGGGATTACATTAAAAACAAAGACAAAAAGCCCTGTTGTCATCAAGTTGACTCTGAATCATAGTCACCCTATTGGACAGGATTGAAGGGTCCCCTTGGGGTTTTTAGGGTTCTAAACCCTGTTTTCAAATGGTTTTATTGCCATATAATTCAATATTAAAACTGAAAAGGGCTGGGCAGCCATCACTCCACAGGTTGTAAATCACTGAGGAGCCTGTCACATCTTTCTCTCCCATAATGTGGCTGGTGGATTAGAACTGCTAGCTTTTGGGTTAGCAGCTGACTGCTTTAACCATTGTCCCACCAGGGCTTCATTGAACAGTGGCTCTTAAATCATGGGTCCCCTGAAACCGGTGCCTGGGACCTTATTTGGAAAAAGGATCTTTGCAGATGTAATTAAGGCTCGTGAGATGAATTCACCACGAATTCATGGAGGGCCACAAATCCAGTGACCAGGGCACTTATAAAGGAAAGGGGAGGGAGACTTGAGACAGAGACAAGGGACAGAAGGACCACAGAGCTCACAGTCATACAGCCCCAAGCCAAGGAGCCACCAGGAGCTGCAAGAGGCAGAATAGGATGATCTCCTTGGGCTTCACGTCCAGAACATAAGGATGGAAAGGCCATTACGTGATGATGACAGTTTCCGTTCATCAAGAAAACAGATTATCAACATTAATGCACCTAATAAGATCATTTCACACATTTGAGTAAAAACTGCTGAGAACTGCAGGGAGACACGGATAAGGGATAAGATCTAATCCCAGTAGCAAACTTCTTATCTTATATCGATTGTTTATAATGGCTCTGCTTCTCTTATCAAACGCTGACTAATCCAAGAACATGGTGAGAAGGATGCTCTCTATCAGATGGCATAGGGTGAAGCTGCCACCACGAAGACGGGGCATCGCTACAAAGAAGATAAGGAGAGACAGGCACCAGACTTCCAGAGTCCCGAGCCTGACTTCTAAGTCCAACTCTTACCTTGAATTTGCGTGGCAGTTAGGATAGCCAGAGGTTTGCCTCAGAATATAGTAATAATGTACCTATGATGTGTAAGAAAATTAAAGAAACATTTCCAGATACACTAAGACATCTTTAACAATTAAACAAAGTCACTGCCGTTGAGCCAATTTTGACTGATAGCGACCCTACCGGACAAGATAGAAATAAATGCCCCGGTGAGATTCTGAGACTGTACATCTCGATGGGAGAAGAGAACCTTGTCTTTCTCCCACTTAATGACAGTATAGTAATAATGTTTCTATGTGTCTCATAAAAGTACCTGTTTACTATTATGAGCCATTAAAAAACAATGGTCTTCCAATATTTAACTATAATACTCTTCCTCGGATCTTAAATAGTCTTCATGAGAGGTTGGCTTATAACTCTGGGTCGTGGTTCATCAGACATTGATAAAGCAGGGCCTGCTGGTAGCCCAAGTAAACGGATCCAAAATCAGAAACCGAGTCCCACATAACGGGCATGTGACTTAGTATTTCAGTTCCAGGCAAGCACCTGGAGCCTGGCTGTGGCTCACTCGTGGAGGAGACGGACCCTGGAGTCGGTGCCTTTGTGCACCTCTGTGGGCTGGAGGCTATTGCAGCCTTTGGTGAGGCGCCTCTGCCCTTCCTGAGAACCCAAGCTGAGGGCAGAGGAGACCACTGACTGGGGGGAGCTGGGGCCAGACCACATGACATGACCCTCCCTACCCAAGAGCACATGGGGGCGGTGTGTGTTAGGGACATGTGCCCATCAGACCCCGCTCCCACCCGGGAAGTAGGAAAGACACACACTTGGCTCAGTGACAAAATGTTTGTAGTCATCTTTTGCTTGTGCCTGGTTCCTGGGAGGGAAACCTTTTGGGGAGTCTGTGATGGCCAAGGTGACGTGTGGGCCAGGTCACCAGAGCCACAGGATGAGGATTGGGAAGGTGGAAGCAGCCAGCAGGGCTGGGAGGAGAGGCGGGGAGGCTCTGAAGGATGTCTGGAGGCTCTGACTGGTTGGCCACCTGTTCAACCCTAGGTAACGCTCGTCCCGGGACGGAGGCAGGTGGTAGGAGTGGCAGGACAAGTCCAGAAGCCTGTCGGGAAACTCGTCCTCCACAGGGTTCTGCCCACGGTTGTCCTCTCTCACCTAGGAGTGGGAACCATCAGTCGGTGGCTCTTACAGCCCCCTCCACACCCACTCAAACCCCTGGGCTGTCCTTTTGCCCAGCCTTGTGTACCTGTTCCACTTGCCGGAAGACCCTCAGTAGGTTGCCGCGAAGGACACCCCGGAGCTCCTCCTCACTCCAGCCCCGTCTCAGCAGTTCTTCTATCAGCACCGGGTAGGTAGATACATCCTCCAGCCCTTGAGGAAACCTGGGTGGCCACCCACCAGGAAGCTGTGGGACCTCACCCTTGAGTGAGGCCCAGGCCTTCTACTCTCGGTGTGTACAGGGCCCACTGCCCGCATAGCCCCAGCCATGTATCTGGGAAAAGGGAGGCTGGGGGAAGCCCTGTTCTTCAACCTGCTGAGGCAACTTTGGCAGCTCCTTGAGGGCTGAGCTTTTGTGCGGCCTCTGCTGGCTGAGCAGACAATCAGCCTGCTGCAGGTCTGCTGGGTCAGAACTGGGTGGCTGAGCTGTGACTGGGAGGGGAGGAGTTCTAAGTAAATGTCATGACCTGGAGTGGGTCCACTGGGCCACAGGGGACACATGGAGTATTCTGGAAAGAGGCCCTGAGAGGAGAGAGATGGCAGGTTGACTGGAAGACCCGCGCCTGTGGTCGACGCCTGAGGATGGGAGGACCACAGGACAGGAGGCTGAGAATCAAGGCTTCCCTGCTGATCCCTAGGCTGAGACAAAACTGAGGAAGATACTCACCGGCCAGACCCATCATAATTTCCACTAATCCCGATGAACTCAGATCCAATGACTTCCCTGATGTGATCGAAGTGATCTAGAGGGGGAGGGGGTGGGTGTTTGAGACTGGAATTAGACCCTGGGCCCTTGCTGATTCTCTGGCCCTCGCCGATTCCTTGGCCCTCAGTTCTCCAAGCCAGACAGTTGACTCTCTAGGGTTCATGGTCAATTGTGAGTTCTGCAGTGGCTACAGGTTGGGCTGTGAATCAGGAACAGAGCTCAGCACTACCCCTTTAGGTCTTTTCCTGCCCAGGAGTAAACTTTCCCTGTGTGCCTTGAGAGTTTAGCGTGATCCTTCCCATCCCGCCCAGAGACGTGGGGAAGAGAGAGGTCCCAGGACTCAGAACCAGAGAGGCCGAGGCCTGAGTCTGAGGCTTCCATCACAGGCCAGGCCAGGGTCCTCTGGGAGCCTGACCAGAAACAGACTGTTAAAAGCTTACTGCTGTATTCAGCTTCCTCTCCACTCCCACCTGGGTGGTACTGCAGAGCTGTCTGTGCTGCCCTGGGCTCAGAGGAGATCAGAGGTCTGCCCATTACACAACAGGTACGCCAGACTGAGGGCCCAGCTGTCCCAAGGTCCCAGCCAAGCTGCACAAGGATCCGGGGCAGGGCTCACCTGCCACAGTGGACACATTGGCTAGCAGGTTGCACTGCAGGACCCCCATGGACAGTGTTACCATCACGACACCGCCGTTCTTCTTCTAGAGGGACAGACAGATAGATAGACACTCAGCTCGGCCCACCCAACCTGACTGGCCGGCCTCCTAGGCAAGGCTCCCCAGCAGCACAGTGGATCTACTGTCTGGGGGTATGGGGCTTATTTGGGCCTGGGTTTTGGAGATGGTGAAGCTTTGGGTGGAAGGGAGTATGAGACCTGGGATGGTCACCTTGTTCAGGATCAAGAGTCTCTGTACAGAGTGTGCTAGCCCTGTATTCAAGGGCTGAGGGTGACGGCTCACCAGAAGCTGTAGCGTGTCATCAGGGACATTCAGCATGTAGTTGCACACAGCCCTGGCGGCTGAGTGGGAGAAGATGACGGGAGCCTGCGACACCTCCAGGACCCGCCGCACCAAAGCGTCCGATCCATAGGATAAGTCCACCATCATGCCCAGGAGGTTCATTTGCCTCACCACCTTCTGCAGGGGCGGGTTGGGTGGGTGTCAGGGCCTCCATGTGTATCTGGGAGTGGGAAGGTGGGGATGGGGGGGGAGATAGGAACAAGGCTCCTCACCTCACCAAAGCTGGTCAACCCGCTGATGTTGATGTAGAAGTTGTGTTTAAATTTGGCGACACTCTCTGCCCTGCAGGACAGCCAGGAGAGGGTACAGCTGGCCATACCATGCCCAGACCTCCAGCACCTGAGGGCTCTGTAGTCTGTCTCTCTGTCTGTTCTAGAAGCAAGGGCTTGGACTCCGTGGGTGGGGGGTGGGGGGACAGTTGCTTTCTGGGAGGGTGAGGGACCTGCGAGGAGTCCAGCTTCCCTCTAGGGGCCCTTTAGGGGTCAGGCCCATCCCTGGGACAGGCAGTCCCCCATTACACTTTGGCCAGGCCCTGTGCTCACCAGGGTGTGCTGCAGGTGGAGGTGAGTGTCAGGTAGCGCACGCCCAGCAGGTAGAAACTCCGAAGCACAGAGAGGCTGCTGTCTAATGAGTGACCGCCCTCCACGCCAATGAGACAGGCCAGCTTCCGAGTGTTGTTCAGACCTGGATGAATAAGCATCACCTGGTTAGGGCTGCAGGGTCAGCGCACCAGACTGAGGATCTGGAGATTTCACCCCACCCACCAGCCCACCTGCAGCTGTGGTCACAAGCTCCAGCTCAGGGTAGGCGGCGCACAAGCGGTGGATGAGGTCAATCTGCTCCAAGGTAATGCGCACGGCATCCTGGTCCTGGGTCTGGCACGGGGCATGGGCTGCCCAGAACTGGGAGTAAGCCCGGGGTCCAGATTGAGGTTTGGGTGGTTTGGTCTCCAAATCCTCTAGCTACCACACCTGCCTTCGGGCCTGTTAAGGCTATTCTCTGTGACTCAACTGTGGGCTCTCGGCACAGCACGGCCTACCGTTTGTTCCTTCGCTAGCTGAATGCTCCAGGCCCAATCGACTGTGCCCTTTGTGGGGCCAGGAGCTCAGGCACTCGCATGGGATTTTCTGTCACGGTGCACGCCCCTAGAACCGGCGTGCCCATAGGGCTGGCCTGTCTGGATCTCCAAAGTCCCCTCACACCCCTGTAGCAGCATTAGGATATATTATGTCCCCGCCCCCATAGTTCCTAGTCCCCCAGAGGCCGGCCTCCCTAAGTTTACGGGGCCCCAGCATCCCCCAGCGGCCACGCAGTGGCACCTTGGGTGTCCCCGTGGTACCTGAGCGCCCACGAGGCCATCCCTCAGCTGGTCCAAGCTGGTCTGGTTCCAGCTGAGATTCCCCAGATTCACGGCCTGTATGCTGTTGGGGGAAAACTGGGCCAAAAGCTGAGGCAGGTCGTTGTGACTAGACAGGATGTCCAACAGGGAAGACAACCTTCAGGTCAGGCCCCTGCCCTCCCCCTTCCCCCCTTCCCCCTCCCCAAGGCTTTGAGGGGGTGCTGGGAAATGGCGGTGAGGGAGCCCCACCCCCCTGCTCTGGGGTGCCCAACACACCCGTCCACCAGCGGGAAGGCCCGCATCAGAGCCCGGGCACGCTGGCTCAGGCTGGGGGCGCGGGGGGCGCCCGGCGCGGGGTCGGTGGCGCAGGTTCTGTGCGCAGGTGGCGGCGGGAGCAGTAGCAGCAGCAGCAGCAGCAGCAGCAGCAGACACAGCTGGCCGAGGGCGCAGGACTCCTCGGAGTCTGCGGGTCGCATGGCGACGCGCGCGGAGGGAAGGGGGGAACTGGGGGCGGGAGCTTCAGTCCCACGGGGGATTCTGGCCAACTGGCGCCAAGCACGGCCCGAGTCACCAGACCCCACGAGGGACGCGTGGGGAGCCGGGACGCCACACCACGCGGTCGCCAGGGGGCGCTATGGCTCTTCCGCCCACCGCCTAGGGGGCGCTCTCGCGCCAGGCCGGCCTCTCTGGGCCGCTCGCCGCCCTCGGTGGGCGTGGGGGTGCGGGTGGGGGAGGTGTGCCCTGTGTGCGTGTGTTCCTCTCTCTGGTTCGACCGGAAGGAGCGCCTGGTGTCCTCTAAGCGGGAGGAAGATGAGGCCGCCTGTCACCATAAGGATCTCATCTCAACCAAGGGCTCAAGTAGAGAGAAAATGTTTGGGAAATGATGATGGCAACGTCTGGACACGTGTGCTCGAGACAATGGATGTATGGATTGTTTATTAGAGCTGTAAGAGCCCCCAATAAAAGGATTGATTAAACTAAAAATTTTAAAAAGGATTTAATCTCAGGAAACCACCCCCCACAGGGTCCCGGTGAGTCTAAATGTCAGTCCCATGGGGCCTCGTGGGGGGTTTTCCCCGGAGACCGAAAATAAGGCTCCCCCTACCCCAACCAGTCAAATATTCCCATAAATGCTACAGTCCTGACTTAGAAGAGTAAATTACACATGTACATTTGGACTGCCAGAAATATTCCTTGCATATTGCCCCATGGAAAGTACACTCTTAAGATCAGTATTATGCTTCCCTCCAGAAGAATTTACTTCAGAGGACAGTAGTGAAGCAAGCTCAGGGAGAGGGCACACAGAAGCAAATGAAGGGGGAGGAAGAGAGTGGAGCACATCCTGGCCCACCAAGCCTTGCCGATGATATCCCCACTCAGAGCAGCCAGTGCACATAGGGGACCATATGGCCGGCCCCACTACAAGACACGACATCCCTCACTGACCTATAACCCTACAGGGCACCACACTGGTGACACAGTGTGGGAATTGCACACGATCTGACCTCACCACACCAAGGAAAACAGTAAGGACGTGCAACAGAACAGCAAAGGGAGCAGAGCAACCAAGTCCCCAGGGAATACCAAAAATAGACGTTGGGGTCAGAGCATGGCACCCCATCAGACTCAACTGGAAAACACTCCTAAAGGTCAACAAACAGACCTTAAACTATTTACAGGCTTTTTTTTTTTGTCATTGGTTTTTTTGTTGTAGCTGTTGTTTTCTTTTGTTGCTTTGTTTTGCTCTGTTTTGTTTTTGTGCTTATTATCATCTCTGCAGGTCTATCCAGATAAGAGACTGGATAAATAATCTGGAGGAGAAAACAATGGGACCAACGGTTGGGTGGTGGACAAGGGAGAGGGAGAGGTGGGGGAAAGGAAGTGGTGTTAATAAGCCCAGGGACAAGGGAACAACAAGTGATCCAAAATCAGTGGTGAGGAGGGTGTAAGAGGCCTGGTAGGGCTTGATCAAGGGCAATGTAACTGGAATTACTGAAACCCAAGTGAAGGCTGAGCATGATAGTGGGACAAGAGGAAAGTAAAAGGAAATAGAGGAAATAATTAGGCAAAGGGCATTTATAGAGGTCTAAATACAGGCATGTACATATGTAAATATATATGATGATGGGGAAATAGATCTATGTGATAAGAGTTGTATGAGCCCCCAATGAAATGATTTTAAAAAAATCCGTATTATGGGGGCAGTTCTACCCTGTCCCATCAGGTCCCCAGGAGTCTGAATTGACCCAGTAGCAGTTGAGTGTGTTTGGTTTCTGTTATTTTAGTGACACATGTGCTGGCCTTCTCTGACAGGTTTCTGCTTTGCGTGGGTTTCAGCTTTCACAGGTCTGAAAGAAGGGTGAGTGCCCTTCTTAAGTCAGCCTTGAAGTAGAACATATGAAAATCAGAGCACTTAGACCCAGTTCCATTATCTAATGCCAGTTAGTCAGCCATCTTTCTACGCATAAAGAGCTTAAAGCAAAAAAAAAAAAAATCCGTGTTATGGGATCACACCATCTTGTTTTAGCGTCTTATGATTGCATGTTATTTCTGGACACTTAGTCATAGACCTACAGCAAAAGGCTGTGGAGGAGGGTAGAACTCTGAAGGTACAAATGTTCTGAGGCAAGGCTTTGACGGGGGGAATGGGGCCCTAGGAAATGGTGGGGGATATGTAAACATGCTAATGGTGGCCATATTGGGAAGGGGTGACCTACTCAAGGTCACCTTTTGCCTTCTCTGTGGTGTCACCATCCTGTGAAGGAAATTCTGGTGGGGCTGGAGAGGGCTAATGGGGTCCAAGGGCATTGGTGACCACACCAGAGCAGAGCTGAGCAATGAAAGGGGCTGGGGTCTGGGTGTCCCCCCACCACCACACACACACACACTCCCCTCAGGTGGGAGGAGAGAGCTGCTTGAGTGGTTAGTGGCTCAGGACAACTGTGAGGGAGGAGCTGGAGAATCTTCCAAGGCAGAGTAGGTGGGACCAGGTCCTGTCTGGGTCATGAACTCACTTGGGACAGAAGTCCTCCTCTTAGACCAGACTGGACAGTGTCATGAATCATTTCCTGCTAGGAGAGCCATGGTGTCTGGGGAGCTGATTTCAGAACAGCATCTGGGCCACAGCTGAACGGTCTGGGCGTGGGCCAGTTCTCGTCAGGCTGAAAATCGAGTTCCTCCTCCTCTGCATCTATCTGCTGCTTCCCGCCCAGGTCTCCCCAACAAGTGGGCCTCCCTTCAGGATCCCAGCAGCAAGACCTGGGCCTCAGGTTGGCCTCTACCCATCCCCTCTGCCTCTTTTTTGGGTTGTGGGGGTCAGCACCATTTGCCCCCAGCTTTTACTCACTGGGGAGGAACAACAAGAGGGATCAAGGGGTGTTGCTCTGCCTGCTTGGACCCCTGAGTGAATTCTGCCTTGGAGTGCCAAGTGACTGGGGACCATATAGTGAACGACAAGGTTGCTGGCAGTGTCTCAAACATCCCCAAGCACTGCATTTACAGTGGTGTCTATATCCACCTTAGGTCAAAGGGAAGGGCAAAATGTTTGAAAGTAGTTTCCAAAAAATATCATCCAAGGCCTAGGCAAATGCAGCTGAAAAGTAGCTGGTTAGGGGTGATTCCGTACAATCCCACGCCTCTGGACAACTAGGAAAGTTGGGCAAACTAGACCAAAGTGTTTTCTGTCTCTCTCCCAAAAGTTCGTGGAAAATGAGAGAGAACGGATTTTTTGCCCATGACGTCTTTGAGGCCCTCCTTGTAGAAAACATTTGCTCAAAGTTGGAGAATCACAGTGATACCTTGGTTGCTGTTGGGCCCCAAGCTTGAACTTTCCACGACCACAACGGCAAAGCTCTGTCTGCATAACTTCACTTGACTGTCACATGGAAAATAAGACTTGAAAAACCTATACCGGCCAAGAGTGAGTCTGGTGTGCAATCTCGCAGCAGCAGACACAAAAGGGGCGCTTTCATCCAAGCGCCACGCTGGCTCAGACAACAGCCGGTACTTCTGTCATTGTGCTTTTTTTTTTTAATCATTTTTTTGGGAGTATGTGTAACTCTTATCACAATCCATACAGCCATCCATTGCGTCAAGCCATTCTCAAAACATTTTCTTTCTACTTGAGCCCTTGGTAGCAGCTCCTCGTTTTTTTTCCCCTCCCTCTCCCACCCTCCTTCCTGAACCCTTGATAATTTATAAATTTTTTTTCATGTCTTACACTGTCCGATTGTCTCCCTTCACTCACTTTTCTGTTGTCTGTCCCCCAGGGAGGGACCTTGTGATCGGTTCCCCCATTCTCCCCCACCTTCCCCTCCCCTCCTGGTATCGCTGCTCTCAGCACTGGCCCTGCGGGGTTTATCTGTCCTGGATTCCCTGTTTCCAGCTCTGATCTTTACTAGTGTACATGCTCTGGTCTAGCCAGATTTGTGAGGTAGAATTGGAATCATGATAGTGGGAGTCAGGGGGAAGCATTAAAGAACTAGAGGAAAGATGTATGTTTCATCGTTGCTATACTGCACCCTGACTGGCTCATTTCCTCCCCAAGAACCTTCGGTAAGGGGATGTCCAATTGCCTACAGATGGGCTTTGGGTCCCCACTCCACACTCCCCCTTATTTACAATGACATGATTTTTTTGTTCTTTGATACCCGATACCTGGTCCTATCGACACCTCGTGATCACACAGGCTGGTGTGCTTCTTCCATGCGGGCTTTATTGCTTCTCAGCTAGATGGCTGCTTATTTATCTTCAGGTCTTTAAGACTCCAGACACTGTATCTTTTGATAGCCGGGCACCATCAGCTTTCTTCACCACATTTGCTTATGCACCCACTTTGTCTTCAGCGATTGTGTCGGGAAGGTAAACATCATGAAATGCCAGTTTAATAGAACAAAGTATTCTTGCATTGAGGGAGTACTTGAGTGGAGGCCCAATGTCCATCTGCTACCTTAATACCAAACCTATAAATATATGCACATAGATCTATTTCCCCATCCTCATATATATATTTACATATGTACATGCCTGTATTTAGACCTCTACAAATGCCCTTTGCCTCTGAGCCATTGGGTTTTTTTGAAGCGCTTTATTTGTGTAAACTAGCATAACCGTGTTCCGAAGAACGTCAGAGACACCAGCAGTCAAGCTGAGAGGAAAACTGTGAGGACCACGATCGCGTGAAAGAAACACATTGCAGAATTTGTGGCTAAGTCGATGTTATGAACATTTTTTTAAAAACGCGCTTACAGCAGCGAATGTAGCAAACGGTGGGAGACCGTTAACCACGAAAGCAAACAACCCAGGCCATCGCAGAGGTTGAAGCGCTGACTGTTCGTTTGGCTCGGTCAGAAACAGCCGGTGGCTGTCCTGAACACGGCGACATGGAAGAGGGCGAACGGCCTCCCCCATTGTGGGAAGCAGAAAGATTTCTCCCAACTTGTCTCCCCAAATACATGCCAAACTTAGCTGCTTGCTACACGTGGCAAATGACCTACAGAAGTAGGTCAGCGGTTATTCTCCCTGAGGGTTATCAGCCATCTAGAGCAAGCAGTCACCACAGTTTATCCCACAACAGGTAGGGCCCACTCCCTTCTGATAAGGACAGTAGTTGTCTGTTTCCTTGTAGGAGACCCCAGAGAGGTCAGGCCCACCCAAGGGTGACCAAGGTTAGGCCACCATCATGAATCTAGGGTCTGCCCTTCTTGTTACATGTATACCTCTAGTCCCTCCCATTCCTATGTGCACACCCCCAGCTCATCCCCTTCCTGTCACACTTATGCCGATCATACATCCCCTTCCTATGGTGTGTATGCCTATTGTGCTGCCCCTGTGACATGTGGTTAACTGTAATCACGCCCCCCCCCCTAAGTAATGATAACCCTTGGTTGGCAATAAGGTGGAGCTCTCCTGCTCTTCTCCTGGGCTCTCCCCACGAGGACCACCAAGTGAGGCTGAGGTGAGCATGCTACCATGGGTCTGCCTCCATGACTTCACGCTCTCTTCTGTCTCTCACGCTTTCCATGACTGCACTGTAATCTTTACTCAGTGTCGCCGTACAATCGCGCCTACCGGACCAGAGACGATGTGTTGGGGGCCCTCCTTTCCCCTGCACACCGTGATTTAAAGTCCCGGGGAAAATACATTTCTATGGGCAATCTTTGAGCCTCAGATCCAATTATCTGGTTTTCCAGGATTTCTTAATGGAAAAATATGTTCAGTTCTCGACCACAAATTTAGAACGAATTGAATTCGACTACCGGATGGCTGTACTTGGTGAAGATCCATGGAAGCTGGAAGCAAAAGGGCTGGGCCTGGCCTCGGAGGCGGTTTCTTTCCCCTCAGGTGTGATGGGGCTCAGGAAACAACAGGGATTAGGGCCCATGGCCCACACAGGTAAAGGGGGCCCCGAGAAACACGCTTGGCTTTGCGCTGGGACACATAGGAATCCGCTCCGGGTGGCAGGCCGGCAGCTGGGTATTCCTCTGTGCTCTGAAACCATGTGTTCTAGACGCTGTTGCCAGCCGCCTGCCAGTTAGGTTCTGCCAGTAAGAGTTGGCAGAGGGAATGGAAAGGTAGAAGCCCTTGTTTTAGCGCCTGCCCAGGCTGCTCCAGCTGCCATGTTGCCCCACCCCAACCTCCTGCCTCCTCTGCCAGCTGCCTTTGGGTCTGACTTCTCTCAGGATTGTGTTCGGGGAGCTGTGAGGTCTCCTCCCCCATCAGCGCTGGGCGTCCATACTTCTCACACACACACCCCACTGCCAAGAAGGACTCTCATGGCAGCGTTCATATTGCAATGTTTATTTTCTGGAAATAGTTGTGCCTGGGGCGGACACAGCTCTCCAGCGACATCCGGCAGGGCTGGCCAGTCACCAGAACCACAGGAGGAAGCCTGGGAAGGTGGCAACCACCGTGAGGCCCACCATGTGGGGAGAGGAACTGGGGAGTGACCACCTGGATGGCCACTTGGGTGTCCAGTGGGTTGGTATCTCTGTCAGCTTTGTCCGAGGGAGGACGGAGCGGCAGGCGCTGCCCAGCTGTTCACTTGGGAACTCATCCTCAAGGGGCCTTCGCCACTGGTTCTCCTCTCGGACCTGGGAGGGGCAGGTGGTGGGCCAGGTTTATCCCAGCCCCAGCCCCGCCCCGCCTCCCGCGACCCTCGGCCCGGCCCCACACACCTGTTCCACCTGTCGAAAGACGCGCAGCAGGTTTCTGCGAAGGACACTTCCAAGCTCCTCTTCGCTCCAGCCCCGTCGCAGCAGCTCCTCTATCAGCACCGGGTAGGTGGATACGTCCTCCAGCCCCTGAGGGAACCTGCAGGCCAACCATTGGGGCTCAGCCCTGTCCAGGGCCCCCTAAGCCCCAGGCCTACTCAGATGTGGGAAATGGAGTCTGGGAGAGAGGAAGCGATGTGTTCCACTCTTTATCCTTTAGAAGGAAGAAGCCTCCAAGCGTCCTTGAAGAGTAGTCAAAACTCATTGAATTGAATTGTTCAGATCTCTGCCTTTTGTGGAATGCAGGTTTTCCTCCATTAAAAAGAAGAGGGTCTTCCTGCTGACAAGACACACGGAGCTAGGCCAGAGCCCTGGAGCTGGAGGAGCCACGTGGAGACCCATGCCAGCGCTGAGATGGTTTCACCACCACTGGATACACACACACACACACAAAGAGGAGGAGGTGGAAGAAACCTTCTTAAGAACATGATCGCTGAAAACAAAATGGGTGCAAAAGCAAATGTGAAGAAAGCTGATGGTGCCCGGCTATCAAAAGATATAGGGTCTGGGGTCTTAAAGGCTTGAAGATAAACAAGGAGCCATCTAGCTCAGAAGCAACAAAGCCCACATGGAAGAAGCACACCAGCCTGTGTGATCACGAGGTGTTGATGGGATCAGGTATCAGGCATCTAACCCAGGAATAAAGTCATACCCAAGGTGAATGGGGGCGGGCATGGAGTGGAGACCCAATGCCCATCTGTAGACAATTAGACATCCCTTCACAGAGGAGTCATAGGGAAGAGATGAGCCAGTCAGGGTGCAATATAGCACCGATGAAATACACAACTTTCCTCTGGCTCTTTGGTGCTTCCTTCCCTCCACTATCATGACCTCAATTCTACCTTACAAATTGGATTAGAGCAGAGCATGCATCCTGCTACAGATAAGAGGCAGCAACACAGGGAATCCAGGATAGATAACCCCCTCAGGGCCAACAAGGAGAGTAGAGATACCAGGAGGATTAGAGGAGACTGGGGGAAGAAAAGGGGAATCGATCACAAGGATCAACCCCTTTCAGGGGGACGGATAACGGAAAAGTGGGTGAGGGGCTACAGGACGATGTAAGATATGGCAAAAATAATCCTTAACTAATCAAGGGTTTGTAAGGGAGGGTGGGTGGGGAAGGGAGGGGGAAGAAATGGGAAGCTGCTATCGGGCTCAAGTGGGAAGAGAATACTTTGAAATTGATAATGGCAAAAAAGAAAAAGAGAAAATGATAATAGCGGGGCACATGTGCAAATGTGCTCGACACATTGGAGGAATGTATGGATTGTAATAAGAGATGCAAGAGCCCCCAGTAAAAGGATTTTTTAAAGTAAATAAATAAATAAAAAATTTAAAAAGAACTTGGGTCGATTTACAAACTATCAAGAATTCATGTGGGAGGGAGGGGGGAGGGATAACCAAGCTGATAGCAAGGGCTCAAGTAGAAAGAAAATGTTTTGAAAATGGTGATGGCAAGGAGCCCTGGTGGCCCAGAAGATTAAGGGTTGGCCTGCTAACCACAAGGTTGGTGGTTCAAACCCACCAGTCTCCCCAGAGGATAAAGGGGAAGTTGTCTGGTCTCAGGAAAATGATGATGGCCACCAATCCTTGATGAGATTCCCGCTCAGAGCAGCCAATCCACAGAGAGGACCATATGGCTGGCCCCACTATGAGACACGACATCCCTCACTGACCCATAGCCCTACAGGGGACAACACTGGAGACACAGTGTGGGAATTGTGCCCGATCCCACCACACCGAGGCAAAACACTAAGGACATGCAACAGAACAGCAAAGGGAACAGAGCAACAAAGTCCCCAGGGAATACCAAAAATAGACCTTGGGGCCAGGGCTTGGTGCCCCAACACACTTGACCAGAAAACACTCCTAAAGGCCAACAAACAGTCTGTGAACTAAAAAGAAAAAGAAAATGATGATGGCAACAAATGTACAAATGTGCTTGGCACAATGGATGGATTGTGATAAGAGTTGTACGAGCCCCCAATAAAATGATTTTAAAAGGTCCTGAGGACCACAGTATGGGGACATGGTGGCTGTGAAGGTCCCACGGATGCACACAAGGCCCAGACAAACCACGGGTAAGCACTTACTGGCCGGCCCCATCGTAATCACTACCAATGCCGATGAACTTGGATCCAATGACGGCCCTGATGTGGTCGAAGTGATCTAGGGGGATGGGGACAGTAGTGTGAGCTTCCAGGGCAGGGCTGGGGTGGGCCTGGACTGGGCTGTGCTGATCCCCATCCAAGGCCATTCCCATGCAAGCTTCACCTCCCTCCAGGCCCCTTGAGGGTATGGTGGGGGACCCTCTCTAGTGCTCCAGAGGGTAAGAGAGGGACCCGGGGCTATAAGTGACAAAGACCAGAGGGGCTACCCTGCAGAGGGCATCTCGGTGTGACTGCCTCCCTGCCACGCCCCACACCACTCTCACAGTACTGGTGCTTTGTGCTCCCCTCCCTGTTGTGGGATTTGGGGGGTTGTGACTAGTACTCGTGTGTGGGTCAGACTGCTGGGATGATCCTCAGGCCCCTCGAGGCTTCAGGTTCAAAGTCTGAGCTGTTCAGAGTCCAGGGTGGGGGCTCACCTGCCACGGTGGACACGTTGGCTAATGGGTTGCACTGCAGCACACCCATGGACAAGGACACCATCACGATGCCGCCGTTCTTCTTCTGCAGGGGTGGACAAAGGGACACTCAGCTTGGCTCCCTGGGAGGACATTCACCGCTGACTTGGAGGGTCATTTCTCTGGGTTCACGTGAGCACCTGGCTTCAAGAGGTCACACGCTGGGCTCTGTGGGTTGGCAGGGCAGCTGCAGGTGGGGGGGAGAGGGAGGGGCAGGGGTTCGCGTTCCAGGCCTCCTGGTGTGGATCCCAGGACCAGGGCAGTCTCTCACCAGCATCTTCAGGATGTCATCAGGGACGTTCCGGGTGTTCTCACATACGCCTCGGGCAGCTGAGTGGGAGAAGATCACAGGAGCCTTGGACACTTCCAGGGCCCGCCGTGCCACCGCATCGGAGACGTGGGACAAGTCCACCATCATGCCCAGGCGGTTCATTTCCGCCACCACCTTCTGCAGGGAGAGGTTGGAGGGGAGGGCCTCAGGGGTGCACCCCATTGTAGGGCGTGTGGGGCAGGCTGCGGAACTGGGTCTTCCCTCACCTCACCAAAGCTGCTCAGTCCGCTGACGTTGGTGTAGAAGGCATGGAGGCCTTTCATGGAGCTCTCTGCCCTGCAGGCCGGCCAGGACACCGTCTGACTAGTTGGCCACACCGTGGCCACCGGAGCCTGGCGGCCCCGGCAGACAGACTCTGTCTCTGGGCCAAGAGATGAACCTAGGCTGGGCTGTGCCTAGCCCTTAAAAGGTCACTGCTAAGGATGCAGTCTCCCTCCTGTGCAGAGAGTCCAGCTCCCCTCCCCATGCCTGGGTGTGCTCTGGATTGGGATCCGAACAGGAACCTTGGCCAGTGGGTCCTGGCGAAGAGTCCTTCGGCAGTACGCCTACACTGCTCTGCTCCCCCTCCCCCCCCAAATGCACCACACCGTGCTTACCAGGGCGTGTTGCAGGTATGGGTGAGGGTCAGGTAACGCACTCCCAACACATAGAAGGCACGCAAGACAGAGAGGCTACTGTCCAATGAGTGGCCGCCCTCCACGCCGATGAGGCAGGCCAACTTGTGGGTGCTGTTGAGGGCTGGGGACAGGTAGGTGGAGATGATCATGTTCAGGGGTGGCCTGTAGCATGAATCCATACCAGCCACCAGTAGCCGCCTACCTTTCACGGAAGTCACCAGCTCCAGCTCAGAGTAGGAGGTGCACATGCGGCGGATGAGGTCGATCTGTTCCAGGGTGAGGCGCACCGCGTCTCGGCCTTGTGTCTGGCAGGGCACGTAAGCGGACCAGAACTGGGGGAAGGTGGGAGAGGCGGCATTGGGTGGTGAGGAGTTGCCCTTGGAGCTCCACAGCCCGTACAGCATCCAGTGGGCCCAGAGGCCACCTGGGAGTTTGTCCTGTGCTCCCTTGCTGCCTGCTGCCCGGGCTCACTGGCGCCCCAGCAGCCCCGAGCATGTATGTCATGGCATTTTGGGTGATACTGTAGTGACTGAGTCCCCATGTCACTAAGGGGTGGGAGGCTTCATACTCCCCACCACACCCCAGCAGCCACATCGTGGCACCCCGAGTGTCCTCTTGGTACCTGGGCGCCCACAAGGCCGTCTCTTAGCCTGTCCAAATTGGTCTGGCCGAGTCTGAAATTGTGCAGGTTGACGTCCTGCAGTCTGTTCTGGTAAAATTTCCTCAGGACCAGGGGCAGGTCGTTGTGGCTGGAGGGATGTCAGGTAGCGACATGTGGATGAGCCTGTCTCCTGTACTGTCCCACGGACCATACACGTTCCCCCGAGGCCCGACCAGGGTCAGGGCAGAGTCCCTCCGGTCAGGAGGGGACAGAGGTGAAGGGGAGCGGTTTGGGGTGGTGGGAGGCGGCCCCCTCCCCTGCTCAGGCGCGCCCCGCCCCCACCCCAGCCCTACACACCCGTCCACCAGCGGGAAGGCCCGCATCAGGGCCCGTGCTCGCTCTCGGTAGTCCGGCCCACGGGGGGACCCTGGAGACGCGGTCGGGGTCGGGGCCCTTGCAGCGCCGGGCAGGGGTGCGGTAGGCGCCAGCAGCAGGAGCGGCAGCAGGAGCCGCATGCCCAGGAGGCGGCGGGGACCCTCGAGGCCTGCTGCGGGTGGCATGCTGCACGGGGCCTGGCAGGCTGGCGAGGGCCCGCTTGAGCGACCCTGAGAGGGGCAGGAGGGTCAGAGGGCGGCGATGAGGTCCTGACCCTCGATTCAGGAGACCCAGCGGCGGCCCCTTGCCCGCCACCCGCCTGCCGCGCCACCGCCAGGGGGCAGCACAGCCTTCCCGCCCTTGGGGGGGGGCGGGTCTCCGTCACGTGGTTCCCTCCCTGGCTCGAGGCTCCGCCCCGCGCCTGTCCTCGCGCCCCGGGGGCGTGGCCTGTCTCCTGTTCCCAGCCAGCTCTTCCAGCGAGTGGCCCTGAGGCCTCTTGGAAACACAGGTGGGCCTCCGGGGTGCGGGGGGGGTGGCTGCGGGAAGAGCTGGTTCACTCCCGGGAGAAAAGTTCACTCTGGAACCACGAAGGGGCACTGTGCCCCTGACCCCCTGCCTAGGTACCCAGCTCCTCTCGCCGCCACCTGATTCTCCCATGGGCAAAGACCCATTCCCCTGGGGGCCCACGCCCCAAACTGGCACCAGTGGGGGGCATCCTGCTGGTGCCCTCCCACCCTCCCCAGGCCGCCTGGGCCTCCACTGAGCCAGCACCTGGCTGTTGGGGAGGAGGGCCAGGGAGCATTTATTCAACAAAGCAGACCGCCTGGAGAGCAGCAGGCTGTTGGGGCAGGAAGTTGAGGTCATATCCTGAGCTGGGGAGCCCCCCTCCCCAGTCCCTTCCTCCCAGAGTAGCTGGCCTACCTGTTGGCCGGGATCCCTCCCACCTCTGGCTGGAAACCCTGGCAGCTCAGATGTACGGTTCCTCCAGACAGGCCTGGGACCAGCCTTCAGCTGCTACACTGGTCTTACCTCCCGGCTCCTGGGGCGCTTGCTCTCAGAGAAACCTCCAGGGCTGAGTCCCCCTCCTTGCTGGGCCGGGCCCAACCCATTCCTGGACATCATTACCCAATCTGCCTCCTGCGGGAACCTCCCCTCTTCACCCACCACTCACACTCCTGGGACAGGCCCTCAGATAGAAGTTCACTGGCATGACTCCAGGGTCTGTACCCAGACTCCTCCATCCCCTGCGGCCTCCTCTCTACCCCACCCCACCCCAGACAGCCTCTCCAGGTTTTGCCCTGAACCTCAGCACCTACTGTGTCACCTCTTTCAAGTGGCAGGCCTGAGCAGTACATGGATAGTGACATCAGTGGAGACTGGAGATCAGAGAAGCACCCCCCCGCCCCCCCAACAAAAGCAAAAGGACAACTCTAGCAAAGGGAGCTGGGCTACCAGGAGGGGGAGAGGCCCCAACCTGGGCGGTGGGGTGGTGGTGGAAGGGTTGTACACCAGATGTAGCCAGTGTCTGCTGCCCAGGGACTAAGGAAACCAAGGGAATGAGGCGAGGGTGGGGTGGGGTGGGGGTTGTTAGCTTCCTGGACAGGTGGCACCTGGAGGGCCCACATTGAGTCCCCCTAAGGCAGTACTGCAGAAACTGTCCTTGCATGTAGTGGCTTAGGAGCCCCATCTTCTTCCCCCTAACTCCCTACTCCTGAAGTGGCCCCTACAGGCACCAGCACAGTTAAGTGGAGAGAGGGACAACTCTTGGGTCTGCTATCTTCAAGGCAAGGATGTGGGTTTCCGGGAGGGGTGGGGTGGGGGGGAACAGCTTGCTCCCATGAAGTAGGACGGGCTGTGAAGAATGGGGTGGGCAGGAAGTCCCAACTAATCAATAGCAGCTACTGGTCGAGGTGGGGGTTGGCCAGGAGAATGCTGATCTTTGAACTCTTCTCCAGGGCCCAGATGGAGAACTTGAAGGCCTTAGGGGAAATTCACCCTGCCGAGATGGGCTCGGCTGAGCCAGGGAAGGTGGAGTCTGTCTCTGGAGAAACTGAGCAGCCTAATGGCCCCTAACAGCCAGGTTTGACCTGCAAACAAGCCAACACCGCTGTATCCCAGGGGTCTTAGAAGTGCTCAGACTTCCACACTCCAGGGGAGTGTGCACACTCATGCTGGAGGGGGAGGCCACCTAGAGGATGGCCTCCTCTCCCCCAAAGCAGTCCTGGTCATGCGGTGGTTAAGCACAAGGCCGCAAACCAAAAGATCCCTGTGAACGCACCAGCTACTTTGAAGAAGAAAGAAGTGTGTCCATGGATGACAGCTTTGGAGACTATGGGGCAGGTCTCCTCTTGTCCTAGAGGTCAAAGGGTAGCTATGGCTTGGATTAGACTAGAGAGCCATGTGTTTAGTTTTGGGTATCCTCTACCTTGCCCTCCCCAGCGGCCAGCTCCGTGCCTGCCCCGTACGCAGGGGAAACACACGCAGACCAGCCGAGCCTTGTTCTCCAGAAGCGGCCAGCATCAGTGACAAATCTGGACATGGACCATTTGGAGGCAAAGGTTCTGTGGAACAAGCAGGTGCTGCCAGTGGGCAAAAGGGGAAAGAGATGAAGACCGGGAAGTGGATGGCCCATCGCCCGAGGAGTGTCAGTCCTGAAGCTTCTTCCCCCACACTCCCATCACCACTTACAGCACCTCAAAATCCCACCGTGACAGCCTCTCTAAACATCTCCCAGGTGCATCCTTTCCTCTACCTCTTCCCAGAGATAGGCCATCTTCCCACTTTCCCCTCACCTCGCCTCCTGGTCTATTCACCTCCATTCCCTTCTTTTGAAAAATCTTATGTTGTTCTTCCGTGCCCCCACCCCGCCCCCAACATCCCCTGACTGCTCTGAGGGCAGACCACTTGCCTTCTTTTGTCTTTTAAGTTTTGGGAAGTCTGCTTCCCCTGGCCTCTCCAGCCTCAGGACATTGCACAAACTCCGCGCCCTCTAAACTCTGGCCGCAGGAGCCAAGCCGCCTCCTGCCCCAGGTCCTTGGCACCTGCTGTTCCCTCAGCCTCTTGGTGGTGCAGTTGAGATAGTTGTTGAGACAAAGTCTTGGCTTCTGGCAGAGGTGGATAAGCGGGCAGCTTCCCCTCCCCCCTCCCCATAGGCGGTGTTTACTTACTCAGTCAAAGGCCTGAGGACCAGCGAGGCAGGGGAGAATTAAGCTGCTCCCAGGAGTAAGTGTGTCCCCAGCTCACTGCCACCATGTCCATTTTGACTCACAACATCCCTCTAAGATAAGGCAGAACTGCCCGTGTGGGTTTCTGAGCCTCACTCTTTTTTTTGTTTGTTTTTTAAAAAACATTTTATTAGGGGCTCATACAACTGTTATCGCAATCCATACAGACATCAATTGTGTAAAGCGCATTTGTACTTCATTCTCAAAATATTTTCTCTCCACTTAAACCCCCGACATTAGGTCCTCATTTTTCCCCTCTCTCCCCGCTCCCCCCTCCCTCATGAGCCCTTGATAGTTTATAAATTGGTATTTTGCCATATCTTGCCCTGTCCGATGCCTCCCCTCACCCCCTTTTCTGTTGTCCATCCCCCAGGGAGGAGGTCACATATAGTCCCTTGTAATCGGTTCCCTCCTTCTTACCCACTCTCCCTCCACCCTCCCTGTTTCGCCACTCACACCACTGGTCCTGTAGGGCTCATCCATCCTGGATTCCCTGTATTTTCAGTTCCTATCTGTACCAGTATACCTCCTCTGGTCTAGCCAGACTTGCAAGGTCAAATTCTAGTCATGATAGTGGGAGCGGGGAGGAAACATTTAGGAACTAGAGGAAAGTTGTATTTCTCATCGTTGTTACACCGCACCCTGACTGGCTCATCTCCTCCCCGAGACCCCTCTGAGCCTCACTCTTTATAGGAGTAGAAAGCCTTGTCTTTCTCCCTCGGAGGAGCTGGGGGGTTCCAACTACGAACTTTGATGCACGCAGTCTTAACGTACAACCACCACGCCACCACCGGGGCTAACAGTGCACAAATAGGGAGTAGGGACCTAAGAAGGATGGCTTGGGCAGAGTTGCTTGGGCTACCTCACATGCCCAGAGTGCAGGTGGGGACTTACTCAGCAGCTAGCACCGTCCAAGTGATGGCCATGTCCACTGAACGTCCCTCGGGCCTGGAGGCTCATCCTGCCCCTGCGCCTCTCGGAGTGCTCCCCTGGTTCTCCTTGCATGATAGACTGCCCCAGTCAAAACCCCAAGTAACAGTCGCCCTCGCCAGAGGCCGCCTTCTCTAATCACCAAGCCGAGGCCACCCTTCCTTGAAGTGACAAACAACTAGCACATTTTTTCTTCCTCAAAAGGCAGGCAGGGCTTATCTCCCCAAGAGCAGTACTGTGCCCCTGAACGAACACGTCTCTGGTTCTCATTTCTACTCAGCTTCTCTCCCTACCCCCCACCTTTCTCTTCCGCACCGCTGCTTCACCGTCAGCCACCCCGGGCGCTGTGTGGTGGCCGGGGTCCCCTGTGCTCAGCTGTGGGCCCATAGCTCATGGTTGTGTTCTGCTGGGGCCAGGCAGTGTAGAGGATCTGGAGTGTAGGATCTCAGGAGCCAAGCCACACGTGGTACCTGGCATGCTCGATACCTCTGGCGGGGTGGCTTCTGGAGACCAGATGTTTAGGCGACTCTGACAGGCTCCTGGGGGCTGGCTCTCCTGCTGCCCTGTGTTGCTGAAGCAGCCATCCATCAGCCCTGGGGAGGCGGGTGGAGCCTGCGCAACAACTGGACCTATGGAGGGTGTCCATGGGATTCAGGTGGCATTCCCTGAACTGTGACATTCACTTGCTAGGGGACAAGGCCATGCCTGCCGACATGCCTGTGCCCTCTCTAAAATAGGGGCATGGACAAAACTTTCCACTCACTTCAGCTCAGCACTCACTGTTTCCTGGCCTCCGGTCTTGTCCCAACAGCAGCTTCCGGTGGAGGCTGCCCGCAGCCGAAGGTGGCAGGTGAACTCCGTGAAGCCATGACCCTGCGGTAGCTGCCCATCCCCGATGCCTGCCCATAGTGCTCCACCCATATTGGTGCCAGGCTCCGGAGGCTACTGCCTTCTCTCACCCCATAGGGGACGTGACAAGAGGAGCCAGGTTGACTGTGTGTCTGGCCTTGTGTGACCAGCCCACATGCTCACTCAACAGCCCATGGAGAAGAGGTGTCAACTAGAATACCCAGGTCCAGCTGCCAAGTGAAACTAGATCAGGACCCAAAGACCCCAGCCTTCAGATTTTGCAAGCTCTGCCCCTCCTCGGAGTCCCCCCCAAGAACAAAGAAATTATCCTTCCAGATGCCCCCACCCCAATTCCCAGAAGCCTTGCTGCTGTGCTGTTGATCAGGACCTTCCAATCAGCCTGACGCAGCACAGCGGCCCTGTGTCCCACAGGACGGGATCCCGCCCGTCCTGCGTCCTCAGCACACCTGATTTCAGGTGTGAACCCATGATTGCAGCCACTGTGTCAACCTATAGTGGAGCTTCACTTCTGGGCACCTCGGTCTGTGAAATGCTGTGGATGGCAGTGACAGCCCAAAATCCATTTGCAGGGTCGCCTAATAGATTAAGCCTCTGTTGAATGCTTTTTTATCTTTAAGCAAGGCTATAGAGCAACGAGTGGTTCTCTACCTGTGGGTCGCAAACCCTTTGGGGGTTGAACGACCCTTACACAGGGGTCGCCCGATTCATAACAGCAGCAAAATGACAATGATGAAGTAGCAACGAAAATAATTTTATGGTTGGGGGCTATTAGTCTTACTTTAGAGAAACAAATCCACAGAAACTCATGTTTCTCCCCACGGCTGCTCCAGCATCCGGGGCTGCATTGGGGTAGGTCCATGTGGCTTCTCCTCAGGGATGTCTCACAGGAAGTGAGCCTTGTCAACAGAAGCAGGGAACTGGCTAAGGCAGCTGCACCCTGGTCAGACCATCAGAAAGCAGGAGAACCGAGAACTAGAAAGGCGAGGCTCACCGAGCCATTTATCCCTCTGCCCTTCAATTAACCCCACGTGTTAATCGGCCAGGTTGGCACAATAAACTACCTCAGGGGGTCACCACAACCAGAGGAACCGTATGAAAGAGAAGGTTGAGAACCATTGCTAGAGGTAATCCGACCCTCAGGCAGAATGCCTTGGAGAATCTTGCCTCCACCCCTCACTGACCAGCCCAGGGAGGGGGCAGTCTCTCTCTTAGGGGCCTGCCTGGGTGTGTCCTAGATGGCAGTACCTTACTGGGAACAATACAGGGTGGTGGGTGTCACATAGGCATGAATCCTGCCCTATCATTTTCAGCCCTGACTGCCTTGGTGGGAAAGCCCTGCACTGATCTTGTAAACGATGTACAAGTCCCAATCACAGTCCCTTTCCTGCCTCTGTAGACCCACCTGTAACTGTTACTGTCTAGGAAATTCACAGTGGCAGTTCGACCCTGCCCTGCCGGCTTACGGTGAGTCAGCCTGCACGGGATGGCAGTGAGTCTCTCAACAAACCCTTGGATGCCATTTTCACCTCGAGCCAATGGCCGCCGCCGCCGTCCGCATGATGTGTCTGTGGCTTTGTTTCTTTTCAAGACAATAAATACGCTCCTTCAGCTCCTTTCCTCTCAATGATACTTGAGATGGGGGGGTCTCTTTTGTACCCTAAAACCAGGGCCTTCCTCTTTTTCACTGCCCCTCTACTTTACTAAGCGTGAAGTTCTTCCCCAAGGACTGGTTTTTCGTGATTCCCTGTCCAAAGTATGTGAGACAAAGTCTCATCATCCGTACCTCTGAAGGAGCGTTCTGATTGTACTTTTTCCAAGACAGATTTGTTTGTTCTTTTTAAAAACTGTTTTGTTGGGGGAGGAAGAGAGAGTGGAGTACATCCTGGCCCACCAAGCCTTGAGGACGACATTCCCCCTCAGAGCAGCCAATCCATAGAGAAGACCATATGGCCGGCCCCACTATGAGACACGACATCCCTCACTGACCCATAGCCCTACAGGGGACAACACTGGAGACACAGTGTGGGCATTGTGCCCGATCTGATCCCACCACATCGAGGCAAAACACTAAGGGTGTGGAACAGAACAGAGCAAAGAAGTCCCCAGGGAATACCAAAAATAGACTTTTGGGCCAGGGCTTGGCACCCCATCAGACTCACGGGGAAAACACTCCTAAAGGCCAACAAACAGTCCTTGAACTAACAACAAGCTTTTCTTGTTTTGTTTTTTGTCATTGGCTTGTTGGTGATGGTGTTGTTTTGTCATATTTTGTTGTTTAGTTTTGCTGTGTTGTTTTTGTGCATGTTATTATCTCCGCAGGTC